CGCTTGGGGTTTAAAGTGGTTGGGAGTTCGGGTTTGGTTGGGGCGGTTTGGGGCCTTAGATTGAGGGTTTGATGGAGCTTGGGTTGGCGCAAGGTTGGTTTGGTTGAGGATTGAGGTGGGTTTAAGGTGGGTTTAAGGCGGGTTTAGTGTGGTTCTGGTAGTTTAGGGTGGGGTTCAGTGTTGGTTGGGTTTAGGGCTTATGGGGTTCAAGGTTGGTTCAAGGTCCTAGGCTTAGGGTAGGCTTCGGGTAGGTTTAGGTTGGGTTTAGTTGGGTAGGTTTAGGATGGGTTTGGGGTGGGCAGGTTATTGGTTTAGGGTAGGATAGGTTGGGAATGAAAGCAAGCTGAGTGACAGGCACCTAGGCTCTTGTAGGGTGGTTTAGGGTGTTCAGGGTTGGTTTGGGGCGGGTTTTGGTTTTGGTTTTTGGGTTGGGTTCAGGTTCAGGGTGCGTTGGGAGGTTGGTTTAGGGTCGGCTGCGGGGTCCATTCAGGGTTGGTTTTAGTTAGGTTCGGGGTGGGTGTAGGGTGGTTTAAGGGTGGGTTTAGGGGTTCAGAGTTGTGGGTAGGTTGAGAGTTGGCTTAAAGCTGGTCTAGGGTGTGTTTGGGGTTGCTTTATGTGGGTCGGTTTAGGATTGGTCTAGGGTGGGTTCAGATGGAGTTTGGGTTAATTGGGTTGGTTGAGTTGAGGATAAAGGCGGGCTTGGTGAGGTTTCGGATCTGGTGTTTAGGGGTGTGTGTTTTTAGAGGTCAAGGCAGGTTTGCTACGTTTAGGGTGGTTGGAAGTTGGTGAAGGGTAGGTTTTGGGTGCGTTTAGGGTGCGTTTAGGGTGCGTTTAGGGTCTGAGGTGGGTCGGGGCAGGTGTAGGGTAGGTGGTTTGTGTTTAAAAGTATACCGGGGGGGTTCAAGGTGCTTCATTGCTTGCTTGCTTGCTTGGTTGCTTGCTTGCTTGCCCGGGGGACTGGAAGAAACATTCCCTAAATAATATAGCACCCAATTCTAACTGGGTTGTGACCTCTTTCTGAAAGACTCCTTGCAAAAGGGGAGGTTGACAATGGGAATTTAAAGCATTTGAAGCAGAAAACGTGCGAACAGAAGGAAGTGCGGGTTTCGACAAGAACAGGCTATGGCCAGCCACGCAAAATGGGCACTAGATGCAGAAGAGCCAGAAAACACAGAAGTGGCCACTCAAGCACAACCACAACTGCACACCCAACCACCATCGCTTGCAACTACTTGAAGAACAAACATGAGCACCCGGTCCAAGTACTCTGCATCCCCCTTACGCTGCCTGAAAACCACACCACATCGGCATCTGGAATCAGCATCCGGAATCATCAGCTTCACACCTCTCGACCTGCCGCCTCCGGCAACACCTGCACTTGCGCCAGCCACAATTCCCACCGTCAGATCGGGATGCCAGACAAAATGCCTGACAATCCAAATCTGTTCAATAAAATCTTGACCCCTCGTGAATTAACGTGCAGGTTTGGGACTCAAATGGGACACCCCAAAAACTGCTGACGCAATTATTTTCATGAAACCTCTGATTTCGGTTGCCTTTTCTTTTGCAGCAATAAAAACGATCTCTTTGGGCCATGCTGACCCTGCATAAACAAACCCATCGATTTCCTCGCCGGGTTGGCCGTACTCATCCCGCCACTTTTGGGCAAAGGGCTTCATGGTGGTCTCGTTGGCCCAGGCGCACGCATCAACCACGCCGCAGGTCCTGGGCGCAACCGAAACAAAATCACACAGGCGCCGATATATACAAATGTATATATACATATATATATATATTGTATATGTATATATATCTATGTATGTATGTATAAGGGCATGTCTATTGCTTTGAGGCCGCTTTATTGGATGGCTTTCAATAAAAACAATCAAAGAAACAAACGTACATACGTGGTTGCATGCATAAATATGTCGAAACAAACAAACCAACAAATATGCAAGCAAAGAAACAAGCAAAGCATCAAACATGCATGTATACATACATACGTACAAACAAATAAGCCTATAAAGAAACAAACAAAGAATCACACATGCATGCATGCATGCATGCATGCATATATGCATGCATACATACATACAAACGTACATACATACAATACATACATACATACATACATGCATTGGATACATACATTAGATACATACATACATACATACATACGTACATACATACATACATTACATACATACATACATACATACATACATACATACATACATACATACATACATACATACATACATACATACATTACATACATACATACATTACATTACATTACATTACATTACATTACATTACATTACATTACATTACATACATACATACATACATACATACATACATACATACATACATACATACATACATACATACATACATACATACATACATACATACATACATACATACATACATACATACATACATACATACATACATACATACATACATACATACATACATACATACATACATACAT